GGATTGGGTCTGTTCTGGGAGTCTTGAGTATTATGTGTGAGCTTTGAGCTCCAGTTTGCCCATCTGCTTCCTTTTCTTGGGTGGGTCTTTGCTAGAGAAAGCTTGAAATTAGAGACCGGGTCCTATCCCTTGTCTTTGATGCTTAAAGCTAGCACTCTACCATTTGAGCAACAGCTCCACTTCCAACTTTTTTGGGTGTTTAAATGGAGATAAAGAGTTCTCATGGACTTTGCTGAGAAGGGTGCATCCAAATGCAGTCCTCAGATCTCAGTCTCCTGAGGAGATAGGATGAATGGCATGGAAAAGTATCTTTGGCCAGCTGTCAGTAACTCATGGGTGTCATCCTAGTTATTCAGGAACTGAGATCTGAGGATCACCGTTTAAAACCAGCTTGGGCAGAAAAGTTCTGTGAGACTTGATGTCCGGTGGACCACTAGAGAATAGGAAGTGGCGCTGTGGCTCAAGTGGGAGAGTGCCCACCTTCAGCTGAAGAACTGAAGGACAGTGCCCTGGCCCAGAGTTCAAACCCCATGACCAACAACAAAAAAAAAGAAGTGACTAAGTTTTCCGCATAGCAGTGTGTACAGTAGGAAATGCCATGCTGGGCTATGAGACATTCCAGGTAAGTGAGAAGCTCAATGTTTTGTCTACAGTGGGTCTGAAGTCGGGAGTGCCACCTTCTCGGGGGTGGGATGTGATCCTAATGGAGGGAGTTCATGGTTCTCTTCTCAGAGACTGCTGAAGCCTTGGGCTGCCCGTGTGTGTGTGTGTGTGTGTGTGTGTGTGTGTGTCTGTTTCTTTGTCTGTGTCTGTGTCTGTGTCTGTGTGTGTTAGGAGGTAGAAGAACTGGGCCTTGAACTCAGGGCCTAGGTACTGTTCCTGAGCTATTGTGCTCAAAGCTAGTGCTCTGACATTTGAGCAACAGCTCCACCTCTGGCTATTTGGTGGTTCACTGTAGATAGGAGCCTCACAGACTTTCCTGCATGGGCAGGCTTTGAACCGTGATCCTCTGATGTCAGCCTCCTGAGTAGCTAGGATGACAGACATGAGCCACCTGTGCCGGCTTTCTGTGTATGTGTGTTTGTGTGTGTGTGTGTGTGTGTGTGTGTCTGTGTCTGTGTGTCTGTGTGTAGAAGTGGGAGCACTCCGTGTGTAGAACACGGAGCACTGGACCCTTTGGTAACATAACTTCTATCTTTGGGGGATGCATGGGTTTTTTGGCAGAGGTTTAGGGGCCTGGATGGGTGGAACACTTGAAGGGGACTCAGCACCATTACATTATAAGACCAAAGGATCTGCGTGCCCTGGAGATGTCTACTCCCTTTGGCCTGGTTGGTGGCAGAGAGAGCTCAGGAGGACCTCGGGGTGGGGCCCGCAGGGGGTGACTCCACAGGGGGACAGACAGCATAGCCAGCCCTTAGTAAGCATGTGAGCCCTGTTAGTATGGAGTGCACTGGTATGGGTCAGAGTCTGGTTCTTCTCATAATGACGTCTCATGGGTGAGGCCAACCCTATTTTAAATCTTGACCTGTGATTTTCAGATTTCAGAATCCTGAGTAGCTAGAATTACATGCATGAGCCTCTAGCACAAGGCCTCTGATTCTTTTTGGTATATTAGGGTTTGTACTCAAAGCCTTAGGCTTGCCGATCAGGTCTTCTACCACGTGAGCTAAGCCTTTCTGTCTTGGGCATTTCCGAAATAGATAATATATGCTCAGGCTGGGCTGGATCGCAGGCCTCCTATCTGTCACAAGCATGCTCCAGCAGGCCTGGTCCTCTTTAGTTGGAATGCTAGTCATGTAGTGCCACGCTCAGTCATTGGTTTAGATGGATTGTCCCAAACTCTTAGTTCATGGCAGCCGATTCTTGACCTAAGGTGAAGCTCTGGGTTGGGCCTTGACCATTGGTCCTCAGTCTCCTCCTGAGACAGTTGTGAGGAAACAAGGAATCAATACAGGAGGATCTCTGGGGCAGAGCCAGGCATAGAGGGAGAGGCTGTCAGATATGGTTCTTGGAAATTCAATGAGCATATGACAGGAAGATACCCAGAAAGCACTCAGATGGGGCCTGTTATGTATCGTGCAACAGGTACGGGATTATGAAACAAAACATGGCTCTCTTTCATCCTTACCCTATCCCGATGAGGAAAGGGATCCTTTAGCTGGGGAAAAAGAGGCATGGAGATGCTAGGTGACCTACTCATGACCCCCAGCTGACAGCAATCTCTGCCTGACTTCCCTGCCATGTTCCCTAGGACAGTGGATGTTATTCAGTCCACTTCTTGTGGTGGCAAGTCCACTTCTTGTCAGTTGTGAGGCTTGAACTCTGGACCTGGGCACTGTCCCCAAGCTCCTCAGATCAAGGCTAGCACTTTACCACTTGAGCCACAGCATCACATCCAATTTTCTGGTGGTTCTTTGGAGATAAACATCTCACAGACATTCCTGCTTGGGCTAGCTATGAACTATGATCCTCATATCTCAGCCTCCTGTGTAGTTAGCATTATAGTCCTGTGCCACCGACACCCGGCTAAAGTGTAATTCGGATTTTCTTTCTTCCTTCCTTCCTTTCTTTCTTTCTTTCTTTCTTTCTTTCTTTCTTTCTTTCTTTCTTTCTTTCTTTCTTTCTTTCTTTCTTTCTTTCTGTCTTTCTTTCTTTCTTTCTTTTTCTTTCTTCCTTCCTTCCTTCCTTCCTTCCTTCCTTCCTTCCTTCCATCCTTCCTTCCTTTCTTTCTTTCTCTCTCTCTTTCTTTCTTTCTTTTTCTTCCTTCCTTCCTTCCTTCCTTCCTTCTTTCCTTCCTTCCTTCCTTCCTTCCTTCCATCCTTCCTTTCTTCCTTCCTTCCTTTCTTTCTTTCTTTCTTTCTTTCTTTCTTTCTCTCTCTCTCTCTTTTTCTTTCTTTCTTTCTCTCTCTCTCTCTCACATTCTCTGTCTCTCTCCCTGCCTATCTCTCTCACACAGGAACTGGTTGAATGGGTGCTGGAGGAGGTGGCCCAGGGTCCCCATGTGGCTGGTAGTCAAGGTGGCCCTCCCATTCTGGAGGTGGGGCTGTGGGTCAGGAGCTGTCTCGCTCAGCCTATTGAACTAGCTCCCTGAGGTAAGCCCCTCTGTGCCTGGGTTAGACTGTGTAGGATATTCATCGTCTGTCCCTCCCTTGACTCCTTCCCCACTACTTTCTGCTAAGACAGTTAAAGGAAAGTTGATATAAGGAGGCGTTGTGTTGTCCTCCCACCCAGCACGATCCCGGGCCTCTGATCCTCACCACCACTTATCTCACCAGACCCTGGTTATAAGAAAATGAATGCACTCTGTTTCTACTCCGCTTTGCTGGAGTGTGTTATTTTGGGGTAGAGGGGCAGTATGCAGAGGAAAGACCCTAGGCCTGATACCTCTTGGGGGACATTTGTTCCTGTGACAGAGCCAAGTCATTGCTGTCAATAAGGAGGAAGCTGCCATCAGACTGACCCGGAACAATGCTCACAGGTAGGTAGGCTGTTGAAGTATAAAAACCACCCATGTCGGCTTCCCACTCACCACAAGGGGGGTGCAGTGTGGGTGGCCCAGAACTGGCCCTAGGAGATTATAAATGGATGGTGGCAGTCAGGTGCTGGTGGCTACCACCTGTCATCATGGTTATTTGGGAGGCTGAGGTCTCATGGTTGTGACTCAGAACCAGCCCAGGCAGGAGAGTCTGTGAGATTCTTATCTCCCATAAACAACCTCCCCCCATACACAAAAAAAGCCAGATGTGGTGCTGTGGCTCAAGTGGTAGAGCCTCAGCCTTGAGAAAAAGAAGCTCAAGGATGACACCCAGGCCCTGAATCCAAGACCTAGGACTCACAAAAAAAATAATAAAATAAATGTTATCTTACCTGTTATCTTACTACCGAAAAGGATGGATTTAGTCTTCTCTCTGGTACTTGTAGACAAAGAAAGGGCTTCCTCTGATGTTCCTTTAAACCTCTCCTTCTCTTAATTATCTCTCCAGGCTTCAGTTGAAGGATAGAATTCAGATCATTCCACTCGATGTGACCTTACATACCCTCCCTACCCACCTTCCTTGGGGTGGGGATCCAGGATGGACTCACCACTGGGAGGATGAGGCACTGCAGAGATGGGTGTAGGTATCCCTGAAACTCATTCTCTCTCTCTCTCTCTCTCTCTCTCTCTCTCTCTCTCTCTGCTATTAAAACAGATTATTTGGGGGGAGGTATTGGATCTCAAATTCTTGTTAATTGCATGGACATTGGGAAGCTGAGGGATGTCTTTATCCCATTCCTACTTTACTACTTCCTGATGAATAATGAAAGGAGCATGCTTGTTATAGAACCCAGGACTTGTGGTGATGTCAGGACATGGAACTTGATACGAACCCTTGTTACCACTATGAGGAACAACAGGGAGATAAGTTTATAGAAGATTAGTATGTGATGTCTCTACTCATATTTGCTCAATATATTAGAATGACAAAGTAAGGAATACAACACTTAGGTGGGCAGCAACCTTGAAACCCAGGGAAGATTTTTCTCATATTCAAAGTTCACCAGGAGTAGCTTATGTTTCTTCAGGAAGTAGTGAATATATTACTTCTGGATGTGTTTTCAATAAAGCTTAGCACCTAGTTGGCTTTAATGCTATTGTGTCTTTTGTTTTGTTTTATGCTGGTACGCAGGCTTGAGCTTGGGGCCTGGGCACCATCGCTTAGCATTTTCGCTCCAGCCTGTCACTCTTAACACTTGAGCAACAGTTTGACTTCTGGTTTTTTCATGATTAATTGAAGATAAGAGTCTCACTGACTTCTCTGCCTAGGCTAGTTTTGAGCCTTGGTCCTCAGATCTCAGCCTTCTGAGTATGTGGCATTATAGATGTGAGCCACTGGCCCTCAGCTGTAATGTTGTTTAAGGGATTCAAGTACATGGCCCAATGTACTCTTTGAAGTATCTAGCTATTAACGATTCTTTGAATTTTCTAAAAGGGTGTCATTGAATAAAGTGAGTTTTTCAAAAGCATTAATGTCAGGAATGAGTAGAGCTCAATAGAGAACAGGAAGAGACATCGTTACTTAAGTCTGAGTCCTAATATTTAGCCTATTCTGTCACTCGTATCCTGCAGGAAACCCTTATAACTATCATATTAATTTGCAATTTTACCATTTTTTTAGTTCTTCCAATTATTATTCCTTCCTGAAATCAGTTGTCTAATAAATCCAGATATTTTTATTCAACCATGTATGATATTATGAAGTATGTACTTAGACATAATCACTTCCTTAAGCCTTTGAAGACTCTGGAGTGATTAGTGTCATGATTTTTTGTTTGTTTTTGTTTTTGTCAGTTGTGGGGCTTGAACTCATGGCTTGAGTATTGTCCCTGAGCTTTTTCACTCAAGGCTAGCTTAGCTGGCACTCTAGCACTTTGAGCCACAATGCCACTTTCAGTTTTCTTCTGGTTTATTGCAGATAAAAGTGTCACAAACTTCCTTGCCCAGGCTGGCTTTGAACCATGATCCTCAGATCTCAGCCCCATGAGCAGCTAGGATAACAGGCAATGTGAGCCACTGATCCCCAGCTCAAAAGTGTTTTTTATGCTAATGAATGTCTTCTGGGAGGGGTTCAAGCCTTCTAAAGGCTCCCTCTTCCAAATTTAGGAGTCCCAAGTTATGTCTGATATGCCAAGTAAAAAGAAACGGAGAAGACCAGAGAAAAGGTACTTATTATATAGCAGCCATGAGAAGAAAGCACTTAAGTATATCATCAGGAATCTTTAGGAGGAAAAGAGGTTGGCTTCAGGTTAAAAAGAGAATTAGTGGCAGGGATATGCAGAATTAACCCAAGACTTTAGTTACCAACAAGGCCTCATTGACATAAACTTGATATTTTCTCTGGAGAAGTTCTGGAGAATTGTTATCTCTTTCCCATTGGGGCACCTTGCTTGTTGGGTGTCTTGTGGAGTAGTTTGCCTTCCACACGACACTTAACAGTGAATTTTCTACTCCCTAGAATTCGAGGTGGACATGGTAAAGTGACTGCAGCAGGGAATAACTCCGATCATAATGCACAGATACAAAGTTGAGGGAGTTTAGTTAATTCATATGTTCTAGCAAAAGCATCTTTCAAGTTGCCTGTTACACTTTCAGCTTCATACCCTGACCTCTGGAGGTGGGAGGAGGAGTTGAACATAGAGTCAAGTACTAACAGCCAATGACTTAGTCAACCATGCCTCTTTAATTTACAGAGTGCTTGCTTTAGGGAGATTCTAGATGGCTGTGTGGAAGTTCCCGGATGGGAGCATACTGAGAAATGATATGGAACCTCCCGACCCTTCTACTATAGCTTGCCTCATGCACTCAATATTAAATTTGGCTGTTCATTTGTCATATCCTTTCTTGTAAATATGTAATCATAAGTGAGGTATATACTCAAGTTCTGTGGGCTGCTCTAGCAAAGCAGCCAAACTTGATAAACCATGGAAACCACAATTTATAGTTGTTTGGCTGAAATTAGTTATCATAACCTGAGGCTTGCAAATAGCGTTTGTGTGTGTGTGTGTGTGTGTGTGTGTGTGTGTGTGTGTGTGTGTGTGTGTGTGTGTATGTATGTGTATATTGGTGCATATGTATATATATATATATATATATATATATATGTATATATATATATATATATATGTATATATATATATATATGTATATATATATATATATGTATATATATATATATATGTATATGTATATATATATATATATGTATATGTATATATATATATATATGAATATATATATATATATATATATATATATATATATATATAGTTTCTTTTGGGAGGTTGACTAAATCCTCAACCTGGAGATCTGACACTATCTCTAGATCAATATGATCAACAGTGAAGCCAATGAGAGGACAGCTAGTGGGATTCAGCAACTGAATTACTTGATTAGTGTCTAGGGAACAAAAAAAATATGTATCCACCAGGCATGGTAGGCAGGCTTTGAATAAAGAGCAGAGAATAGGAACAATAGCATTTTGAAGTTTCTTCTTGTTGTTTGTTTGTTTGTTTTCGTCTGTCATTGGGGCTTGAACTATGGGCCTGGGCACTGTCCCTGAGTTCTTCAGCTTAAGGCTAGTGCCCTATCACTTAAGCCACAGTGCCACTTCTGGTTTTCTGGTGGTTAGTCGGAGATAAGAGCCTGACAGACTGCCCTGGCTTATAGGCTTGAAGCGGTGCCCAGCCTTTTTTTCTTAGACCTTAAAATGTGAGACTGTATTTAGATTTTTTTTAAAAATTTGGTCCCCAAGACTTGTTTTAGTTATTTTTCCTTGGAAACATTGGCTACTCTAGCCAATGTTTACAGTTTTCTAAAGTAATTTATTTTCACCTTTGTTCTTTCTCAGTTGATGCGTGTGTGTGTGTGTGTGTGTGTGTGTGTATGTGTGTGTGTGTGTGTGTGTGTGTGTTTGTGTGTATTGGGGCTCAAACTAGTGGATTTGTACTATTATTTGGCTTTTTTGCTTTAGCTTAGCTTTTTTTCACTCAAGGCTGGTGCAATATCACTTGAGCTGAATCTCCACTTCTGGCCTTTTGGTGGTTAATTAAAGATAAGAGTCTCTCAGATTTATCTGCCCGGTGTAGCTCTGAACTTCATCCCTCTGATCCTGAGTATCTGGGATTATAGGCATGAGCTATCAGAGCTCATCTTCATTTGCTTTTATTAGCTGATTTCTCTAGTTACTATACAAACAAAACAACTGGCCAACACCTTCTTTTTATTTTGTCTATTCTTTTGTTCTCCTTGTGTTATTTCATTGCTTTATTTCTTTCTATTCTTTCTGCTGTTCTCTGAATGATTTCCATTTTGGCATAAGTAGATTCAATACCTCAGAGTTACTTTTCTTGTCACTTCAGTTTTCCTTATGTAAGCAGGAATCTATTATTTGAATAAGGAACTTATGGGAGAAAACAGATGCTAAGAGCAAAAATAATGAATAAGCTTTCACTTAAATGATGTGTAGAGCATCTTGCCAAAGCCTGTTGATGGAGTATGATTTGGTTAGCACTCAGGAGAAGGTCTTTCCCTGATCCGTGAATCTCCAACTTCGTGCTTTCAGTCACATTCATAGTTTGACATTGATACATTAGAATATGGAAAATAGAGAGCTCATGCCTTATATTTTAATACCACAAACCTATAGAATATTTACATTTGGCAAGATTTTTAGGTTTCAGTTTCTTTAAATGTTATCATCTTACAATAGGCACGTGACAATTCAGAGAAGTGGGGCAAAGCAGGTATTATTTGAATTTATGAGATTCATTCACTGATATTTAAAGAGACAAATGGATCTTATCAAGATCAAAAGATATGCTACAATCAGGCCTCAAATTTAGGTTTTCTGTTTTCCTAGTCTAGAGTTCTGTAAAGTTTAAATATCCATTGTTCTTGAGTTAAGGGAGACCTTGTGGGAGGATTTTTGAAATATTTTTATTATCTTTATCTTTCAGTTGTGTACGAAGGACTTGTCAGTTAACATAACTTGATCACAGTCACCTCTTTCAACTGTAATACTCCTTGGCACAAACTATATATACCAATATGTTAATTTTTAAAAAAGCTTAGTTGTTCTTGAAAGTGAATTCTTTTTTTTGGGGGGGGGGTCTGGGGGGGCCTCATGCATACAAGGCAAGTGCTCTACCACTGAGCCACTTTCCAGCCTCGAAAGTGAATTCTTTTCTGAAATATATATTCAGATTTATTCTAATGACTTTTAAAAAGAGTACTGTAGTTCTATTCACCTCCAAAGTCGATAATACATGACAAGAAGCCCATACGCTGAGTATACAAACCTTGAAGACATTAGCCATCAGAACATATGAAGTGAGACCATTTTTATGTCATGTTTTAAACCCTGTTTTAGAACTTGCTTCTACCTCCAACATGTTTTAATAAAAACCATCATTAGTTACCATTTCTGTATATCTCAAGTGTAAAAATATCTGATGACCACTATGTCTGGAGATACTTTATTTGCCTCAAAGAATGGCTAATATTTTTTTTTTCTCATAGTACCATCACTTGAATTCAGGGCCTGGTACTGACGAGCCAGGTGTCCTTATTGCTGGATCATACCTGAAGCCATTTTCCACGGCTTACCTCAAGTCTAGACTCTCATTTTCCACCCAGGTATGTGTTTGAGCTGAGACTTTACTTTAAGCTTCCTATTGTTGCTGGGATTACAAGTATTTTCCACTATAGCCAACTTCCTTAGCAAACTTTTCTGTCAGGCTGGCCTAGAACTGCAATCCTCCCTATTACAGTCTCCTAAAAGGTAGGATTATAAAGGGCCACCATGCTTGACTTTCACACAGATACATCTTTTTTTTTTTTTGGTCAGTCATGGGGCTTGAACTCTGGACTTGGGTGCTGTCCTTGAGCTCTTCAATTCAAGGGAAGTGCTCTACCACTTGAGCCACACGGCCACTTCCAGTTTTCGAGTGGTTTATTGGAGATAAGAGTCTCACGGACTTTCCTGCCCAGGCAGACTTTGAACTGCGATCCTCAGATCTCAGCCTCCTGAGTAGCTAAGATTACAGGTGAGCCACTGGCGCCCAGCCATGATTCATCATTTTTCTGTGTCAGAATTGGGGCTTGAACTCAGGGCCTAGGCACTCTTCCTTAGCTTGACCACTCAAGGCTAGTACTCTGCCATTTGAGCCTCAGCTCCACTTGTGAGTTTTTGGTGATTATATGGAGATATAGAGTTTTATGGACTTTCCTGCCTGGCTGGATTTGAACCTAAATCCTCAGATCTCAGCCTCCCTGATTAACTAGTATTATAGGCATGGGCCACTGGCACCCAACTCTACTAGTACATTTTTTAAATTAAATTTATTTATTTTATTGTCAAGGCAATGTACAGAGGAGTTAGTTACATAAGTAAGGTAGTGAGTACATTTCTTTTCAAACAGTGTTATTCTCTCTCTTGTTTGCTCCTGCTTTCCCTCCTCCCAAGTTGTAAAGTTCATTTCCAACACAGCGTCTAGTGAGTATCACTGTTGCATTAGTTTACCCTTTGTCCCAAAGTTTCTATGGTTCTCTTCCCTTCACAAAATCAGGTAAACTTATATACAAGACAAAGGGTAATGAAATCAAAGACAGTGACCATATGGAATAAACCAAAGGGGAAAAAAAGAAAGAAAAAAGAAATAACTGCAAACAGTACATTAAAATGACAAACAAAACAAAACACTCATTTCCATATCTTGGAGTTCATTTTGATTAGCATCATTTTTTATAGTCATATGTACATAGCTATTGAGCTATTGCGACCCTCTTCTAGGATTATCCTAGATACACACTAACTATTAAAAATGAGAGAAACCATGGAGCTTATGTTTCTTTGGGTCTCGCTTACTTCACTTCATATGATTGTTTCCATGTCTTTCCATTTGGAAATGGAAATGGAGCGATGCCATTTTTTATGATGGAAGCATAGAATTCCATTGTGTGTATATACCACATTTTCTTGATCCATTAATCTACTGAGGGGCATCTGGGTTGATTCAGTATCTGAGCAATGGTTAAATAATGATGCAGTAAACATAGTTGTGCTGTTTGTGGTCATTTGGGTAAATGTCCAGGAGTGGGATTGCTGGATCATAGGGGAGCTCCATGTTTAGTATTTTGAGAAACCTCCATACTGCTCTCCAGAGTGGTTGAACAAGTTTACCTTCCCACCAACAGTGTAGTAGTGTTCTCTTTTGGCCACACCCTCTCCAGGATCTGTTAAAATTAGTGTTCTTGATAAAGGCCCATGCTAACTGGGGTGAGGTGGAATCTCAATATAGTTTTGATTTGCATTTCTTTCATGGCCAGAGATGTTGAACATTTTTTCATGTGTCTATTGCCCATTTTTATTTCCCCTTCAGAGAAGTTCTTTTATAATTCTTTAGTCCACTTATTAATGGGGTGGTTGTTTTTTGAGGATTTGTTTTGGAGGGATGTTTGGATCTCTAAGTATATTTTAGATATGAGGTCCTTTTCTGTTGTATAACTAGTGAAGATTTTTTAAATCACTGGATTCCAGTGTTTGATTGTGGCATTATAGTTACCTGCAACAGGCATTCCTATGGTACAATACTTACCAGGGGGTTTTCAGTCCTTACAGGGAAGTTTCAGTGTTTGTTAAATAGTTTGGAGGAAGGATACATTTTAAACACATAGGGTATTTAGAAATAGAAAAGAAGAAGATCCCTCTGAGATGTTGGGATTACAGATGTGCAATACCAAAGCCTGCTAAATTACTTTATAGATAGCTCTTATGTAGCATATGGAAATAGATTTGCCCTCTAGGTTAACAATATATATCTGGCTTTCCTAAGCAAAGTTATGAACATTCAAGTACTAAATATTCTATCCACAGACTTCAAGAACTCTACTTATTATTTTTGTAACATCATGTAAACATTTTGAGAAACTAAATGTTACTTTACACCAATAGTTCTCTCAAGTGAGCCTGCGACTTAAATTCTAGGCTGGGGTGAATCCCTCTTGTAGGCCACAAGACTCTGCTGCTTCTGAGCCTAGCATCATCTTTCACTGATGCCTGAGCTTTGCCTCCACCACTAGCTGGGGTCTGCTCTGTGCATGACAAACAATCACCTTTGCCCTGGTGAGCCTTCATCAGATAGTCCCCGACGAGCTGCATGTACTGGCTCTGAAGGATGGTGACACTTCTGCGGGCCTGAGGACCCAGTTTTTTCCCATCCATGTCCTCTGTGCTGGTCACATGGGCACTATAGAGAGCCAATGCAGCACAGAGCAGCCAAGAGTAGTTATGGATATATGGCTGGATGAGCTTCTGGCGGTCATGATCTGGATGGTCACCATGGGATGGGCTGTGATGCTATGGGTAGGCAAATGGCTGCAAAGGCAAGACATTATTATGCATTTGTCACTCCAAACAGGAACCCAGGCTTGGTTGCCACTGAACATTAATACCTCTAAGTTGTTGTTATTGAAATTTTAAGAGGAAATATGGGCTTGCACCTCGAAAAAAGGAACCAACACTGGCATACCATTTCTGGATTTCATAACCCCCTAGAAAACTGCCTGTGGAAATCAGGCTAAGTAAAAACTCCTTATTGTGAATTTTGCAAGATGTGGAAATAGTGTTTTGGTAATATGAGATAACGCTCATAACTTAGAGGTAAATATAAAGTACACAGCACAAAATGAGTTAAGATATTAAATTTGTTTAAAATCTTTTTAACAAACTAGGTGTAGCAGCATAAGCCTGTAATCCCAGAACTTGGGAGACTAGGGTGAAAGGAATTATGTTCTTGGAAGGCTCAAGCAGGAGGATTGTGGACTGGGCAACATAATGAGACCTTCTCTTAAAAAAGCAAAGCAAAGGCTGGGAAGGTGGCTCAGTGGTAGAGCCCTTGCCCTGCATGCCTGAGGCCCTAGGGTCGATTCCTCAGCACCACATAAGAAAAAAGAAAAAAGCTGGAAGTGGCGCTGTGGTTCAAGTGGTCGAGTACTAGCCTTGAGCTGAAGAGCTGAGGAACAGCGGTCAGGCCCAGAGTTCAAGCCCCATAACCGTACCCAAAAAAAAAAAAAAAAAAGCAAAGCAAAACAAAAGAAACTTTATGGAGGAAAAAGACTCAAACTTAAGAACATATAACAAAATCTTCCTAATTGCTGAATCTGGGTAGTGAGTATATAAAGGTTCACTACAGTGAACTATTCTCTCTAGTTTTGGCTAGGTTTAAATTTTTTTAATAACAAAAACTTACTTTAATAAAGGGAGGGCTTAGTGTATAACTAAGTGGTAGAATACATGTGTAGCATGTGAAGTCCTGGGTATGATTCTCATCACTGGGGAAAAAAAAGAAACCACAGAGCTTATTTTTTTAATTAAAAAAATTTTTTTCCAGTATTTGGTATTTGAACCCAGAGCTTCATGCTTGCTGGGCTCTTCCATTTGAGCCATATCCCCAGATCTCTTTTCTTTAGTTTTTCTCACATATTTTGCTGGAGGTAGGCCTAAGACTGTGATCTTCCTACCTAAAAGCCTCTTACATAACTGTGATCACACATGTGTACCATGATACCTAGCTTATTGTTGGAGATGGAATCTCATTAGCTTTTTGCCCGAGTTAGCCTCAAATCATGATCCTCTTGACCTCTGTCTCCTGAGTAAATGGGACTATAGACTTTATGTGACCATGTGTGGCCTAATACTATTATTTGTTGGTTTTTGCCTGTTGAGAGCAGGGACTTTCTTTTTGGTTCACTGTTCTATCTTCTAGCTCCTTGTCCCAAGCCTGGTATACAGAAGATATTAGATGAATAGTAGTATGAATGAATGATTCAGGATTTGTATTCCAGGAGTAAATGTCCCTGGCTGTTCTTTAATTTGTGAGACTCTTGTCTGAGGCCTGCTTCCTCCAAATTCTAGGCTTCTGGAAGAAGGATGGGGCAGCTTTGAACATATTTGCATGTTAAACACAATTTTCCACTAGCAATGGGTGCAGTGGGGGTACGTGGATTATAGGAGACCCCAGAAAAAGTGAACTGACAGTGGAGGTCAGAACTTGGCTTTTTAAAAAAATCTATTGCATGTGCGTTCGTGAGTGCATGTGTGCATGCGTGTGTGTGTGTGTGTGTGTGTGTGTGTGTGTGTGTGTGTGTGTGCACATATGTGTGCTGGTCATGGGGTTTGAATTCAGGACCTGGGCTTTTTTTCTTTCTTTCGTTTTTCTTTTTGTCAGCCATGGGGCTTGAACTATGGGCCTGGGGCACTGTCTCTGAGTTCCTTTTGCTCAAGGCTAGCCCTCTATCACTTGAGCCACAGCACCACTTCTGGCTTTTTCTTGAGTAATTGAGGTAAGAGTCTCATGGACTTTCCTCCTGGCCTGGCTTTGAACCATGATCTTCAGATCTCATCCTCCTTGAGTAATTAGGATTGTAGATGTGAGCCACCAGCACCCAGCACAGGCCTGAGCTTTTTTGCTAAAAGCTAGTACTCTACCACTTGAGCCATGGTTCTAGAATTTTGGAATTAAAAGTCTCATGGACTTCCCTGCCAGGTCTGGCTTCTAACCATGATCCTCAGATCTCAGCCTTCAGAGTAGTTAGGATTACAGGCATAAGCACTGGTGCCTGAACAGCAGGCTTCTTACTAAGCAAAGATATACATCAAGAAGATGTGAAGTGTGTACAAGTCATCTGAGGCATACCCATAGGAATATTTCCTTGCTTCATAGCATCCATAGCAAAAATCAAAGTCATCACACACATTGCAGTTCATTCTTCGGCCTATGATCAAACCCTGTCAGTGGTCACAGGTAACTCCATGTTGACCATTTCATGGTCATCCCATGGCCTTCAGGCTTCACTCCACCTAGACAGAAAAGAGCAGTGTGAAGTGCATGGAACAGAGTGCTTGGAGAAGGGCCACAAAAACCAATCCAAGCACTACAGCTGCTCCCATCTATTGTTCAGGAGGGCAGAGTCCACACATATCTTCTGGAGACTAGTTAGCTCTGTCCTGATAACTGAGTGCATAAATGATATTTTCATGAAAAGATAACCCCTCTGTATAACAACTTAATAATAACAATACAATTATTAAAAATTATATTCTCAGCAAAGAGCTGCTGGACAATGGCATACTGCAAAAATCAATTCCTAGCATTATTGCTGTTTGGCAAACACAAGCCCACAGGTAGATTTGTGGGATTTCTCCCATGACCTTCTTTTGACAAGAGTCAAGCATCTGTTGGTGCCTCTGTTAGCAAGTACTGCAGAATGACCAGAAGACAATGTGACAAGTGAGTAAGAGGGAATTAAAGGCACTAGACAGGCTGCTCTTGCCTCTTCCTTACTCCATACATCTCCAACCTGATTTGGACTCTGCTTTATACATCATGTTTTATCGCCTCTGTTCTGAACCTGTTCCTGACTCCAATGCCATCTGACTATAGAGACTGATTCCTAAGTGAGATTGATACAGACATGCTTTCCTCCTTGAGACCTTGTTAATGTCTCCCCCATTTTCTGCGGACTTCAAATGACTAAACCTAGCATCTTGGGATCTCACAACCTGAGCTCTGCCTGTCTTAATCCATCACTTAGTTAGACAGTCACTCAAGTGTGTCTACCTAAATTCCTTCTAGATGCTCACCTCTGTCCTTGAGCTTGTTCTACCCTCTGTAGCATTTAGCTCCTATCATCTGACTGTAACTTTCTTCAAAAACCAGTTCTTATCCACCTCCTCCATGACAGAAATAGTATAGAAGTGCTGCTATACTACCAAATTTTTCTAGAAAAAGTCTGCACTACTTATTTATTACTCAACACATCACTCTTATACTAACAGTACTTCAGGGCAGGGGCTGTATTTTTTACTATAGGATAAACAGACAAGAAGCCACAATGTTCACCATTGTCAGTGTACTTTGCTTTAGTACATACAAGTCAAATGTACTAAAGAATTTTTGAAGTTGACATATATACATACATACATACACATACATATATGTGTTTATGTATATTTTTTATTTGAAGTCAATAGATTTTTATTTAATTATTTTTACATGTTGTGATTCCTTCACTGTCCATCAAAGTGAAGCTCAAGATTTCTCTTGAAATCTAAGGCAGCCCTTTTTGAAGCAAACAGTTTTCAAGCCAGCCATACCACTGCTCAGGAGGCCAAAATCTAGTCACTATGTTCAAATGGCTAACAAAAAGCAGAAACTCTGATCAGCCCTGCCACAAATCTTTTATTAGGGCTTCTTTTAGCACTATTACAGAATTACTGATGACACACCTAAAATCTTTGAAATGCCATTCTGCAAGAAAATTTTGAGATCACTTTTTAAGTCCAACAGCATGATTCAACTGCTGACTGCCCGCCTAGAGAAAGAAAAGCATTTGTTGAGAAGAACAGTTATCCTAAGTATTATCAATATGAATTGTCAAACTGCATATATTGTATCAATAGAAATACCAGGTTTACCATGGACAAAGCCAAGAAAACCAACGATGCCAGATATTGAATTTCTATTGCACTGTCCTTTGAACACATCAGCAGGAGGTATTGCTGAGTGCAGATACCATATAGTGCAATGTCTGTGTGTGTATATATATGTCGTGGGGCTTGAACTCTGGCCCTGGGCACTCTCCCTGAGCCTCCCTGTGCTCAAAGCTAGCCTTCTACCACTTGAGCCACTTGGTACTGAGGAATTGAACCGAGGGCTTCATGCATGAGAGGCAAGCACTCTATCCTTAAGCCACATTCCCAGCCCCAATGTGAAGTTTTTAAATGGCAAGATCACATAAGATAAAAACAATTATTACTATTGAGTATGGCATACTCAAGTCCATGAAGTTTACCTAGGAAGCAAGTTTTGCAGGGATCCATGTCACTGCATTGAAGACACCAGTAGCAGTGCCAGGGAGCAATCTCATCACATCTATCACAAGAAATGTCCACATTTAGCATATCACAGTAGCGAGGAATGAACATGGGCATCTGTAAGTTCTAGTCCAACCAGACTAAGGAAGGGGGACCTGAGCTGATCGTGATCCAACCCTCCCCGCCAACCCCCCCATTGCAGACTCTGGGAAGAACTATTTCCAGGTGGTGGAGCAAGGCAGAGGCACCATGGTCTTCTACAACCAGAACGTGGATAAAGAGGACAGACCACACACATGATCCCGGTGGCCGCTGAGCTCAAACTTTGTTGTGGAAGTAGAGGAAGCAGAATGGATTTCTCTAGGACCATCCCCCAACAGAAATCCATGTGTCTTCTGTAAAAGTTCTGACTCTGTCACGTGCACATCGATTTGTACAACACACCAGATAGGGACCTGTGTGTGTGTCACACACACACACACACACACACACACACACACACACACACACACTCAGCCATCATGGGTTTGTGTCACCTAGCTATCCTCCCTGGAAATGATCATCCCACCTGAACTCAGCAGACGGAAGCAAAGCCTATCCCCTGGTGGTGGATTGACTCCATCTCCTATTTGAGCTCTCCTAATGAGTGATCTAAGGGGTGAAGACAAATGCAAATGTTCCTGCAGATAAACAGTCATTGAACATTCTGAAATAGAATGTTCTCCAACATGACAACAGTCCTGGGGTTTGACTCAGGAACCTGAGCGTGCTGTGCCTGAGTTGCTTTTTTGCTCAAGTCTGGGCACTCTACCACTTGAGCCACAGCACCACTCCTGGCTTCTGTGTGTGTGTGTGTGTATGTATGTGTTATAATGAGGAATTGAACCCAGGGCTTCAAGCATGCTAGGTAAGCACTGTACCACTGAACCACATTCTGTGCCCTAGGGTTTTGTTTTGTTTTGTTGTTTTAAATTTTCATTGTAAATGCATTGAACAGGGGAGTTACAGTTAATAAGAGTGGTAATGAGAGCCAGTCACCTGTGGCTCATGCCTGTCATTCCAGCTATTCAGAAGGAGGCTGACATTTAGAGGATCATGGACAAACTGGAAGTCGTGCCATATTTGTGGTTCAGTGTGGTACAGAGCAACAGCCTGGAGCTGAAGAAGCTAAGGGACAGTGCCCAGGGCCCAGAGTACAAATAATAGAATGCTAACCTTGAGCACAAATAGCTCAGGGCCATGGTGGGTCTTGAACTCAGGGCCCTGGGTTGCTGTCCCTGAGGTTCTTCAGCTCTAGCCTGGACACTACCACTTTGAGCCACAAATATGGCACCACTTCCGGTTTGTTGGTGGTTTCATGAGTGATCAGAATCTCAAGGACTTTCCTTGCCCTAAGGCTGGCAGATACTATCAGATCTCACCCTCCTCCTGAGTAATCATACTTTCTAGGCTGCATTGAATTATGCATCTTCCTGATTTCCTTTTCCACAGGAAAGGAACAAAGTCTGACTGAGGAGCAGCAACAGAGGCTGGAGAAGCTCGCCCAAGAGGAACCTCTGGCTTCCAGCTTCCAACACATCCTGGAAACAGGCGAGTTCCTAGGATCCTTTTCACTCCAGAATACCCCCAAATCCTGAAATTGAAAATCTTCCCCTAAGAGCCCTGGCCTTGGTCCAATCAAACCTCTTTCCATAATCCTGTATGTTTTTTTGTTTAATTTCTTCTCCTTTGTCCTTTTTTTTTTTTTTTTTTTAAATTTCTCCCTACAGACTATTGTCTCCAGGAGTAAGGACCCGGTCTGTTGGTGGAAGACTTTCATCCTGGGTGTGTAGTGTTCCAGGTTGGAAGAAAAAAATCGCTCTGGAAGGAGGCTGTGGTCATGACTCATGTGTCCACAATGGGTGTTTTTTTTGGGTGGGTCACTTGGAGAAGAACAAAGACAGAATGATGTGGGACAGGAAACCGTGACATTTCATTCTTCTCCGCTCACTTCCTTCCTCATAGGTAGACTTCCCTTCACAGGCAGAAACTTGTCCAGGAATCTGCTTCCCATCCCCACATACCCCATTCCAGTAGAATAGTAGTCTGGGAAGTTGAACAATCCTTGCTTTCCAGCTGTGTTTTGTTTTTTTTTTCCTCTCCTGCGAGGTCATCCATCTTGACTTCCAACTTTCCTACTTCCTCCTCCTCCTCCTCCTCCCCTTCTCCTGAATTTTGTGCTCCCACAATACTTAACCTAGTGATCCAATAAACCATATCCTAAACATACAATTCTGACTTGGATGATTGACTCAATGTCTCCTGCTCAGCCCATTCCAATGAAATGATTGGACAAACTGAATTCTAGAAAAGAATCCTAGAGTAATTATTATTATTATTATTATTTATTATTATTATTATTCAGAATAACTCCAGGCTCACGCCTGCCATCCTAGCTACTCAGGAGGCTGAAATCAGGAGGATCGTGATTCAAAGCCTGATTTCTCTCCTTACCCAACCATCAGAACCTAGGAATGCAGAGGATTGGGTTAGAGTAAAACTACACCTTTGGGTCCATTCGTTGTTCAGTCCAAGGCGGGGAATGGAATAAGAATGATTTCCTATTAACCCAGGAAACAGGAGGAAATCACAGTGTGTGCTTTTCCTGGGTCCATCCCCAGACTCACAGGGATGCCCATCCCCCAAAAATGAGCCATAATTCAACACAGGTCCCCAAGAACTCAGGGTCACTCGACATGAGTAGTAAAGATTTGAACTCTGGTCATGCGAGTGGTGGCACAAGAAAACCAATAAAGGTGCTGGAATGGTTGGGAGAGAGCGGGGAAACTTCCACCTAGTCCAGGCAGAAGAGGGTTTAGAACCGAACTTCTGGGCTGGGCCAGATGAAGGTGTGCACAGTGAGCACAGGGTAGAGAGAGAGGAAATAGTAGAGGTGAGCAAGGGGGTGTGTGGGTGGAGAGGATTCAAAACGGACTTCAGGGTCTTGGGGGTGGGGGACTGGTCATAGTCTGAGGGAAAGGTGATGGGGCAGAGGAGGAAGTGAGTTCAGAGGAAGAAGAAGTAAGCTCAGTGGGTGAGGAAGCTACTTCAGAGGAAGAGACAGTGGCCTTAGAGGCAGAGGAAGTGGCCTCAGAGGAAGAAGTGAGTGAAGCCCCTGGGGGCTGGTCAGTCTGAAGGAGGCATGATGGGGCAGAGGAGGAAGTTCCCCAGTTGGTTAGGAAGTGACTGCAGAGGAAGAGGAAGTGGCCTCAGAGGAAAAGGAAGAGGAAATGGCCTCAGAAGAAGAGGAAGTGGCCTCAGAGAGAGAGAAAGTGACTGTAGGACCTGGGAGGACCCATCAATGTCTGCAGGAGGCATGATGAGGCAGAAGAGGAAGCTCCTCAAATGCTTAAGATATGACCTCAGAGGAAGAAGAAGTACATTCAGAGAAAAAGGAAGTGAGCTCTGAGGAAAAGGAAGCACATTAAGAGGAAGAGGAAGTGAGCTCAGAAGAAGAGGAAGTGACCTCAGCAGAAGGGAAAGTGATCTCAGAGGAAGAAGAAATCACCTCAGACGCTTAGGAAGTTACCTCAGAGCCTGAGATTCTTTGCCTACTCAATGATTGAAGGTGACAGGTGTTTCTTTACTGGTTTGGGGCTGGTGATCTCTGGTAAGGCTACAGTGCTTCCTACTTAGCAATGTAGAACGTTGTGTCCCTCCTGGGGAAAATTACTGTATATCCTCCCCAGCTATGTGATTTCACTCTGTGACCCACCCCCCTTCAGGGGTCACATTTCAAAGATTTTCCATAGGCTGGCTGAGGTGATTGAAGTCCAGACTCGAACTTCCTCCAGGACACACATCATGAAGAACTAATGTGTAGAATTGGAAGACAATGAGAGAGAGAGAGAGAGGTTGAGAGGGAGAGAGAAGGAGAGGGAGGGAAGGAATAGTTTTCTGATGGAGGAAATGACACAGACAGACAGCCAATATTCACTTGGATTCCTTCAAGAAAAACTGTGATCCTCGTATGGACTAGAGTATTTGGGGTGACTTTGTTTTTTTTTTTTGATTGTAAATGGCATGGGTGGGATTAGAACTCAGGGCCTGGGGGTGCTGTCCATGAATTTTTTGTTTGGTTGCAGACTGGCCTTCAATCACCTGAGCTATACAGTTCCATCTTCCAATTTGGGGGTTGTTAATGGTCGGGGGTGAGGGGGGAGACAAGTCTCAACAGACATTTCCTGCTAGAGCTGAGTTTGTCCTTCAGCAGCTTCTATTCTCTTCAAGATGGACAAAAGAGAAAGACAAAATAGGAATGGCTGCTCCTATTGCATAGGAAAATGACTTTAAAAAAATCGGCCTGTGTCTTGAAAGTTTGGTGTCTTTCTATTCTCTATACGCAGAAAGCTTTGCCCTTCCTGGTGAGGAATGTCAGAGGAATTGAACCTACACACCCAATTTAGTGGATATTTGGGGAAATTGAGGCTGTAGCCTCATCGAAATGAGGCCTCAGGAAGACCAAGAGCCTTCAACATGGGAAGACTTCCTTCATGTCCACTACAAATAGCCCTCAACCCACAATGCAGGTGCTAGGCTTCGATTCTGTCAACGGAAGAGGACATTGGGAGCCCTCTCCTTCATTTCATAGAATACACACTGAGTTCTCACACTTCTCTTCATTCCTCTAACTTAACTTCACTTGACCCCACCACACCTATTTCAAGTCCCCACT